GGTATCCCATTGTATGTATAAACCACATTTTCTTGATCTTTTCATCTATGGATGGACGTGTAGGTTGTTTCCTCACCTTGACTATTGTGAACAGTGCTGTAATGAACGAGTGCTAATATCTCTTTAAGATCTTTATTTCGTAGTGCATTATCAACCACTTTTGTTCTTATCGGTAATCATTTGTGGGGTGTAGTGTATAGTAGTGTATAGTAGTTTTATTTATTTATTTTTAGTATTTTTTTAAATTAAAGTATAGTTGATTTACAATATTACATTAGTTTCAGGTGTACAACATAGTGATCCAATATCGCTATAGATTATACTCCATTTAAAATTTTAAAATATTGGCTCAGTTCCCCCATGTTGTAAAATACACCCTTGTATCTTATTTATTTAAGAGGTACAGTAGTTTGTACCTCTTAATCCCTACCCTGTATCTTGCCCCTCCCCCCCACTGGTAACCACTAGTTTATTCTCTATATCTGTGAGTATATAGTCATTTTAACTGACATTTCACTTATAAGTGAGGTAGAACATTTTTCATAGGTGAAAAATTTATATGTATTTCTCTTCTGATTAATCATTTCTTCATGTTTTTTTGCTGATTTTTCCATCAAGTTATTGGCTTTTTCTAATTAATGTGTAGGTGTTTTCTCCATTTATTGTATATAACTTACTTTGCATGTTGTATTTTTTACCCAAGCAAAATTTTCTTTTAATTTTTATATCATCAAAATCACTAGTCTTTTCTTTTATAGTTGCTATATTTTGTAATATGTTTAGAAAGGGCTGTCTTACTCTCATATTATTAAACATACTTACACGTGTTATACCACTTGATATGTCTCATACGTCGCTTCATTTTTAAGAAATCTTTCTCTATACTTAAGTTTTCTGTTGCCCTGCATTAAATTTACTGTTACTTCTTTCTGTATTTTCCAATCTGCTGATCAACCCACCCAGCAAATTTTTCATTTCTGACTTTTCTTTAGTTCCAGATTTGCCATGTATTTAATTTTTATAGTTTTGATTGCGCTGCTGAAATTCACTGTACCTTCACTCAAAATGTCTGTGTTTTTCTTTTAAACCTCAGACAGATTTATAATACTCTTTGAAGGTTTTATTGCATAATTCCACCATCTGAATCATCTCAGGTCTGTTTCTATTGACATTTTCTCCTCCTGGCTATGGGCCACATTTTCTTGTTTCTTTACCTGTCTAGTAACTGTTTATTGCATGTTGGACAGTGCGGCTGCTATGCTGCTTACAGTCTGGATTTTGCCTCCCTTTAAACAATTGTGAGTTTTATTTCAGAGGCAGTTAATTTACTGGTGGAGCAGCTTGAATTTGGCTTTACTAGGATGGCTCTAGAATGGCACTTACTCTATGGTTAGTATAGCCCGCTTTTTTTTTTAACAATTCAATGATTTTATAGAATTGTGTCACCATCACCACAATCCAGTTTAAGAACATTTCCATCATCCCCAAAAACTCCTTTGTGCCATTTACAGTCAATTCCAGCTTCTATCTTCAGTCTTGGGCAGACACTGACCTGCTTTCTGATGATAATTTTGCATTTTCTAGACATTGCAAATAAATTAAGTAGCCCTTTGTTTCTGGCTTCTTTCATTTAGCACATTTTTAACAATATATTTTGTAACATGCATCAGCAGTTCGTTCCTTTTAGTTGCTGAATATACAGTTTCATTGTATGGATATATTCATCTTTGTTTATCCAGTCACCAACTGAAGAACATTTAGAGTGTTTCTCATTGGTTGGCTATTATAAATAATGCTGCTGTGAACATTTGCGTGACTCTCAACCACTGCGCTACCAGGGAAGCCCTGCTTTTCATTTTTAAATAAATAATACTTTCTTCTAGGAAGATTTTTAATTTTTAATTTTTTTTGGCCATGCCGCGTGGCATATGGGATCAAACCCACGCCCCTGCAGTGGAATCACATTGTCTTAACCACTGGACCACCAGGGAAGTCCCTAGATTTTTAATTTTTAATTATTTTAATGCAATAAACTAATAATACATATCACCTTTCGCTGAAACGTCTACTGTATGGAACGATAAAATAATCACGTATAAAAGTTTTGGTCTTACTGATGGAATTTAGTGAGTGTGAAGAGATTTTTTTTCCAATTCTAACTGCTTCATAGAAACGAAAACATGCATGCTAAAATATTCCATCTGTGACAACAGTTTGATGCACAGAAGGGCCACGGTTCAAATTGAAGAGGCCGTTCAAAGAGAAAGTGGAAACATCAATAGCCTCATTATTCTGGTGATAATGAAATTAAAGTGTAAACACAGTCTGCCAAAACTGGATTGTTAGTGAATGCCATACTAATAGAGGGCCACGAATACAGATCAAAATATACTTCGTGCGCACGACTGCAATAGTGGATGTTTGTCCGAGTCTGTATTTGGTGTGATGATATATGATTGTAAGTAGGTGGTAAAGAAAAAAAAATTTTATATTTACGCCAAATGTTATTACAGGGATTAATCTCTCAACTTTGGGTAGCTAACATTCTAGAAAATTCCAAATTAGTCCACAAATGGATCAGCTGTCTTCTCAATACAAAAGTTTGTAGAGATCCCAGACTAGGATCTTTGCTGAAAACACTCTGCCTATAGTCTCTTGAAGGCAAAAAAAGAAAGGCAATCCCATTAAATTTGTAACTGTTTCCCAAGTGCAAGTACCTGACAGGAGGATGGTAACAGTCCCCTTTTAAATTCTGACAAATAGCTCACACATCCCCAAAAGATTATCAATGAATTCATATCAACAGTGTGATTTAGCCTACAATCCCTGCCAGTGTAATTTCTTAAAGTTATACTGAGCTCAATCATCTGAAATTCTTTAAAATTTATTTTTGCTAGCGATCTGTATTTCTAACCTTTTTCGCTTCACATCAAAAACTATGAGCATAGATTCTACCCCTTGTGTTTGTATCTCTAATTTCAAGGGATGTAAGAAAATTATTAAGAGTATACTTCACTTTTATTCATATCCGTATATAAGCAGTGTGTGCTGGAATATAATTTTGAGTGGTGGTGGTTAGACAGGGTTTCCAGAAATGAGCTGAAATCACTGTCCAATAATTAAAAGATCTTATCTTGTAAAAGTGAAAAATGATGAAAGTCGGCAAAAAGATTAGGAATCAGGGAACCTGAATTCTAGCCCAAGAAGGACAAAATTAAATTAAGTGGTTATAACTTAGTTATCTCAGTATCCTTCTCATCTAAAAAGTGAGGGCTTTTATCTAAAAGATAATAGCCAAGAACTCCATAATGCAGCTTTGCAACCCAGATGTTTGCACAGAATATTTAATAAACAAGAGAAGTTGCTGGAGCCAGTTTGCTCCACGGCAGAGTCATACCCTTTAAATGTGCCTTTCTGTCTGTCTGTCTGTCTGTCTCTCTCTCTCTCTCTCTCTCAGCTTGCTTCCTGAGAATTTTGTGTCAATGATTAATACTGCAGAGGACGTTAAGACCAGTACCAACAACAGCTTTGTTGCACCATGTTTATGAATTCATCAGCTCTCAAGTATTCTTGCTTCTCAAAATGATTAAAACTGGACTTGGTAGCCTCCCAACATTTCTTTTGTTTTCCTTTGGCTTCATACTTTCCTAAAAGTGAAAAAAAAAGAAAACCCTCTTAGCTGTTCTAGTTGAAAGTATTTCATCTTTTTAAATTTTCTCTTTTTAAATGTCCTGCCGCAAAGTCTCCCCCATAGATAACATTATACTGCAGTTTGGTCTCTGGCATTGTTCCTTGTTTCTTCACTTTAAAAAATTAGGTCTCCTTCTGTGCTAAGATGTATATCATTTTCTGAGTCACTGGGGAGGGCCACTACCTGAGCTGACACCTCATCCCCGCAGCGAGGACTCACACAGTGCCACACTCATTAGTAATCACAAGGAAATTCTGATCCGAATGGTGGCATCTTCTACTTATACAGTACTGCTTATTTTATTAGGTGATTCTAATACATCTTCATCAGCTCTTCCTCACAAGGCTCTTTCGAGGCAGGCATGACAGGCATTTCCTTTCAGAAGGAAGAAATGAAAGATCAAAATAGTGGGGGAGTTGCAGGGAGGACCCATTTTCTCCAGCCCCTGGTCAGGGACACAATCCACTAAGCCATTCTTCCTCCCTGAAGAAATAGGCGTTTCCTTCAGCTCTGAATTCAGTTAAAACTTTGACGTCTCTATGAAAATACTTGGCTTCATATTAATTCACACATGATCAGAACTTTTGCTCCTCGTTGGAAGAAGAACAAAAGCTCTCTTAGAGGTGCCAATAATCTGCCCGCGTTATGACCGGTGTGCACTGATGATTCTGATTTTTCTGCTTCACACCCTGAGGCATGGGAAGAGGAAGTAATTTCTCAGCGTGATTCCTCAAATACCTTTCTTTGGCTCTTCTTTTTTCTTTTTTAAATAAAAGGGGAAATTTAAAGAACAAAATAGAAAAGAAGGGGTACTGCTATTATGTGTGAATTGTTTTCTCTCTGACTTTTCAGCCTGACAGTTTCCTAGAAAAGATTTCTAAACATCTGCTTTAATCAGCACCTTAAACGGCTTTTCCCCCTTGGAGTGACATTTCGTTCCCTACTGTTAATACAGAAGGCACTCATGCTCTGTTCCTGGTGTATGGACTGTCTAATCCCCAAATCTTAGGAGCTGTGAATAAACTACAGAATTACTGGATTTGGATATCTAGGGAATCAAGTTTTGGGAAAAGAAACACGAGGTATCTCATAGTTTCTATATCTTGGCTTGTCATAATCTCAGTGTGTTTCGGCAGATTAAAAAAAAAGCAGCTTTTCTTGTCTGTACTACAAAATACGTTATCATTATCAAAAGAGGGGAAAAAAAGGATTTTTAAAGGTGAGTCATCAAGATGTCAGCTTTCCCGTTTTATGACATGAGAAGAATCAAATCTGCACTAGACAAATATAGACTCTCACCTTTGCACACTTGCGTTAGCACAATGGCATCCAGGATAATGCTCACATTTTCATGTGTTGATTTTAGCGAGGAAGTCCATGCTTCGGCATTTGGCTGTATTTCTGTTGGCTCAAGAAGCTACTGGAAGTCCCCAAATACTTTTCCTTTGCATTACCTCAGTTCTCTGCAATAACAGCTTGGATCAGGTTCATAAGCCAAGCTAAACATACATACAATCAGAGGTATAAATAGTCTCCACATTCGGAGTATCAGCTCTTACCTTGAATCTGACCCAGCTGCCAGCATTACTATACTATACTTACTATTACTAAGGAAATCATATGTTGTTTATACCTGTACTTGATATAACCTTTCAAGCTTGTTCAACGTTAAACAGCATTTACAATTTAAAAAAAATCCTTTGCCGCAAATGAAAACAAAGATATGTTCATGTATTTAAATATAAATCTGTGTAAATTTCTGACATTGCAGAGAAGATCTGTAGTAGTCTAGAAGGAAAAGAATCTGCGGCAGCTTCCAGGATAGATTGGGCCCCTGGCGCGGCCTAACACTATTGCATATCAAAAATGGAAATTGTGGTGAATGGAAATTATGTGGTGTTTATGAAATACAGGAAACACTGAATACCTTTTCTCATTTTTCATACCCAAACATCTATTTATAATTACTCGTTAAGAAATTTAGAAAACAATAGTAATTTGGGAGAAGCTGACAATTAGGGCAAATCTGTAGGTGCTTATTAAACACCTAGTATAAACAGATACATTTTTCCCTCTAAAAATATTGAATGCTTATAATTATAGTTTATAAGAATAAAGGACTCTTTCTTCTCAGTAGATGAAGATTCAAGTTTGTGAATCATTGCAAAAGTATATAAGAAAACAATTGAACTTACTTGAATTTAATATGCATATATTCAGCTTACCCAGTGTTGGCCTGGCAGCTGGAAGAGTATATGGGTGAAGAAAAGGGAAGACAAATACACAGTTGAAATGGACTTACCTTTTCTAGAACCTTCGGCAAATATTTATCCATCCCAAGTCTCAGTTTCCTTAACGGAAGAGGACTGCTCACCTCATAGTGCTACTAAAAGGATTAAACAAACAAACAAACAATGTAAAGTGAATAACAGAACAACTGGCATACAGTAACTGTTCATATATTTTAATAATTATTATTTTTATTATTTCCCAAATGCTGCTCAATTCTTGAATGTATATTGATGTTGCTGTAAAGCTTATTGAAATTCTACATGTTAAATTTCATAGAAATAATTTCTAGTCTTTTCAAAGAAAATTCATGTCATAGCTCATTAGTCTCCCATTCTGTTTTCTATCTTAATTTTTATTTTATTACATGAATGTAACATGAATACATTTTCCATTTTGGAAACCTTAAAACAACACCTATAAGTGACTACTGTTGGGAGAAAAGCCTAAAGTCCATTGTAGAATTCTACTCAAATTTTGGTTTTGTTCACTTGTGCTACAAGAACACATTCCTTTCTAAACACATTACTTGTTAGTAATACTGTTAGAACAAACACCCACCATCCTCATGGAACAATAGGAAAAGTAACAATAAAAGCAGCCATCACGGGCTTCCCTGGTGGCGCAGTGGTTGAGAGTCCGCCTGCCGATGCAGGGGACACGGGTTCGTGCCCTGGTCCGGGAGGATCCCACATGCCGCGGAGCGGCTGGGCCCGTGAGCCATGGCCGCCGAGCCTGCGCGTCCGGAGCCTGTGCTCCGCAACGGGAGAGGCCACAACAGTGAGAGGCCGGTGTACGGCAAAAAAAAAAAAAAAAAAAAAAAAGCAGCAATCACAAGAGGGATCTTGGTTTCACACCCTTCCTGCTTCCTCCCTTCCATCCTCACCTCTCCAGAGGATGACAAGGAGAAGTAAGCTTGGTGGTGACAGTGTTGGTCTGTATTTTTTAAGTAAGGTGGGGCTCATCTATTAAAAGGCAATGAGACTGAGGAATCAGTCTCTTCACTTTCCCCTCTGGCTCTGACCAAGATGAAATTATGCAGAACTAAAGTCCCCTTCTCATGGACTGTCCCAAAGCCTGGCCTGGCGGGGGGACGGGACAGGCAGGGCAGGTGAAAGTGATGGGAGGTGAGGGAGCAAGACCCCCGCAAGCCCATTTGGTTGTGAACCTAAGCCACCTGCTCTGCCCCAGCCTTTATAAGTCATAAAGTTGACATTTTTGTGTCCATCCATGTATTCATGTTTTACATAGTGGAAAACAGGTGTATTCTTTGCTGGCCCCATAAAACCCAAGCATCCCCTGAAAACCTTCCCCACAATCCTCAGCTCCTCTCCAGTGATGCCCAGTATCATTCCATGCCTTTTCCTGTGCTTTTACATAAAGAGCTATGACTCCAAAAATCTATACTTCGTTCGTTTATGTCTCTCTATACGTATTTTTAAAATAGATTTATTTATTTTATTTATTTATATTTGGCTGCGTTGGGTCTCCTTTGCTGCGCGCGGGCTTTCTCTAGTTGCTGCGAGCAGGGGCTACTCTTCGTTGCGGTGCACGGGCTTCTCATTGTGGTGGCTTCTCTTGTTGCGGAGCACAGGCTCTAGGAGCACGGACTTCAGTAGTTGTGGCATGCGGGCTCAGTAGTTGTGGCACACGGGCTTAGTTGCTCCACGGCGTGTGGGACCTTCCCGGACCAGGGATCAAACCCATATCCCCTGCATTGGCAGGCGGATTCTTAACCACCGCGTCACCAGAGAACTCCCACAAGCATAACTTTTATATCTCTTCTCTCAAGTACTTTGCTGACTTGGGAGACATACAAATTAAAAACAAAACCAAATACTCCTAAGCATAAAAATTCTCCTTATCATGTAGCCAACTCATTAGAGCTTTAGAGTGAAGGGATGTTGGATTGTCCGTCATTGTCTACCGGTGTCTAACTTTCATTTCCCCCAAATAATACCAATAAGTATAATAGTAATAATAGTAAGAGGTAACTGTGATTGAATGCTTATTACAGGCTAGGTAGGCGCTTTCCCAAACACCCATATGAGATCTCATTTCATCCTCACGCTGACTTCTGAGGCTGGTGTTCTTGTACCCATTTTATAGATCAGGAAATTGAGATACAGGAGGGCTCAGTGACCTCACATTTAGAAAGCTCATAGGTGGAGGGGGACAACTATAATCTCAGGCACCGTCTCTCCAGATCCCATGCTGGCAGCCAGTGCGACTGTGGCCAATTTGTACTTTTCTTAAAGGATGTATTTTTCCTCTTTGGACATTATTCTCCGCATTTATTAAATGAGGAGATTGAAGGAGTTAGCTTGAGTTTGCTTTTTACACCTAAAATTCTGTGGTTCTTAAAAACACACCCAAGACTTAAAAAAAAAAAATTACCTAGAATTGAACCATATCGCTCTCTGACGAATCAGCTGTTTTCAATCCCCACTTAAGCATCTAATTGGAATCTTCTCCTATCCCACTCTGCAGTAAGCTGCCAGGTAATGAAAAACGACCCCAATTCCAGAATAACTAGAGATGCTGAGAGACACCAGCCTAATTCTGCTGATGGGTTCCTCAAGCCTCCGGGAGGTTTACTCTTTATCCTACGCTGGTCTCCGGGGAAGGTCTGGGGACGCCTGGGCCCAGCTGTGATGTCTGCAAAGAAAACTCTTGGTGCCCACTTCCTGCTAGGCCCTACCAAGGATAAAGGTGACCACAGGACAGCCCGGGGAAATGGGTACCTTCCCTTTGGGAGTGTGCTCCACCATCTGCAAAAGTCACACACACCTTTTTTGCCAGCTGACAGCCCCTCTTCTCCTTGAAAATGAACAGGGATAACTTCCCCTTTTTGAACGTTTAGACAGAAGAGTTCATGTAAGCTGCTAGAAATCACCTATTTGGTTTATTCATTTTACTTCGGCTTTGTCTGGTTTTCCTGCAAAGCAAAATGTTAGAAAACATTTTTAGCATAACGCAGCATTTTAAAAAGGGTATCGGTGGTTTTCAACATAGTCACAGATAAAGATCTGACCATGGTCTTGCATGTGGTAAGTGCTTCATAAGTATTTGTTGGATGACTATCAGCATCTGTCCTATTGCAAAGCATTCAAAATCATTGAAAAACTCTAACAATCAGAGCTAACATTTATTCAGATAATGTTATGCACCAGGAATTAACCGTTTTACATACTGTCTGCTTTAATCTTCCCCCAGACCCTGTGTGGTGGCTACTCACTTTTGCCCTAAATGTCAGATGAAAACCTTGGGGCATGGAAAATAAATAATTTGACAATTAGCTGATAAGTCATTGACCTGGAATTTAAATTTAGGCAATCTGTTCTTAAGATTGCTTGTTTCCGTATGCAATATGTTACTTGTTTCCATATGTAATATTTAAAAATAAGAACAGAAAATTAAGCTTATGTTTTGATTGACAAACAAACTATAGGACATCAGTACTATCTGTGCTAATAACATTGTTGCAACGTGTAGATCATGAACCTGAGATATGTTTTGCAAATCCCTTCTCCCTTGTCCATACCCCATGTGATCATAAATTTGTAAGATGATTTACAACAATAAGAATACAATCTTATGGCCACTGAAATAAGCCTTGAGCAGAGACTGAACCAAAATTCAAACACACTTCAGCCAACAGATCTAAGTGTTCCCTAACTCTGGACTGAATTAATGAGATGTGGAGGTTTTACAAATCATTTATTTACAAATCTTTCACATTACAAATCATTTACAAATACCTTCAGCATGTATTCTACATGCCGCAGAGCGAGTTATTTAAATAGCAACATAAAAACGACAGCAACGAAAGCTTTAAGTGCCTCTGAGAGACATTAATGAAAGTCTATTATGAAATATTTAATCTATTTTAGCTGAAATTCTAAAGAATATATGTCCTTACCTACCTATAGCAGAAAGTTTAAATGTTTTGATGCCTGAATCTGTTTTGTCTTCCAAACCCCTCTTTTTTTGAAGGATTTAGAAAAATGACAACAAAGAGTTCGCAGGAATTTGTTTAGCTACAAAACAAAACAAACAAAACATTTTCCAGGATAGGCCCCTGGGGTCCCTGTGTCAGTTCTGATCTTTATCTCCATTTAAAGGACCTTCCGAGCATTGACCTGAAGGCATTCAGGGCTGCTTAAGCATCAAAGAGGACTGAAGCACCATGTACTGAACATTTTACAACTATTTCCAACAGAGGCTGAGACAAAGAAAAGTATATTTTATTAAACATTTAACTTCATGGCCATTAACAAAAAAAAGTCATTAATAATTTGGATCTGAAATTCATCTTTAAAAAAGTAAGTTTAAAAAATTATTTTATTTTTCTCCTCATAGATTAGTTTTTGGAATTCAGTTTCTTATCATCAAAATGATGAATTCAAAAGGTTGGAGCCCCTTTCTTACTATAAAGTGATGTCAGTTATTTTATTAGAATAGTTAATATATTCTTAATGAAGACTGGATCTTTCAATCAATAATGATTACGATTATACATGGCTGGTTATAAAAGCAGACTCTGCTTGAAATCTTAAACTACTTCTAAGGAAATACTTTTAAGGAATATAAGTGTCAAAGTAACAAAAAATGTCTCACTGTATAAGGTATAAAGATGTTCTGAAATAACTAAATTCAATGTATCAAAGGATACAACTGTTGAATCAAACCCAGTCTTAACATTTGACCCTTCGGGGGAAAAATAAGCCTTGCTATTAGCAAAGAAAACTAGGCATGCCTGGCTAATTGACTGATCCCAAAGCTGGCTTTTCTTTCCATGACTGACCTTCAGGAATGTGAAGTCTTCTTGTCTTTCACCTACAAGGTTTCCTTAGATCCCATTTGGCAACATTCATAGGTAAATAACTAAACACGCTGGCTTTCAAGTAACTGAAAACAATGAATGCAAGATGTCTTGTCTCAAGCAAAACCAACTTCCAACAAGTGTCTATTGGTCTTTATATCTTTATAAAACCCACGAATATCTGAACATCATAAAAGGTATCTAATTATTCACTTCTATATTCCAGATACCAAAATTAAGAAAAAAAGTTAAATTTTATATAGTTAACCTCTATTGGTTTATCCTGAGATATGGAATCATTTGCTAAATAGATCAATTATTTTCCTCACGGCTTTTGTAAAAAGAATTTATAAATGTCTTCATTTCCTTTTAAATTCCTATCTTTGCTTTCTTTACATTATTTTTAAATCGGTACCTTGGAAAAATAGTACAATTTGATGTCCCCTCTCATAAGAGAAATATGTTTAAATAATTTTCCTTTCTATCAAAAGTAATGGAAAATTGTTCTATTTCTTTCTGGAAATATTTCTGAAAGGATCAAGTTCAGAGACTTCATAACATTACGTTATGCTGTGCTCAGACCTTGTCTACACCCTAAACAATGTGAATCCACACTCAACTCTCCTCCTTTCAATTTAACTTTTATCATCATAATATGATATGTAACAGACTTTTTTCTCAATAATGAGTAATAATTGAAACCTAATACACTTTGGAGATTTACATATTTTATGCTTGATTAGAATTGTCACTTTAGATTGCCATTTTATCTCCTGCTATTTAAACTAAATATTTCCTCACTAAATATTTTTATGACTCCTATTATATCAATTATGAGAAAGGGTATAGAAAAAGGTTATAAAATCTATTAGCTATACAAATATGCCTGGCACTGGACATGTTCATTTCAGTAAGAAATTTAAATGGGATGATTTATGAATACTAAGTAGACTTTCACCTAGAAATGAATACAATACAACCCAATTACTATAAATCATTACTGAAAGCAGCATGGTAGAGTGGAAAAAACAGACCTAGTTTTAAATCACAGCGTCACTACTTAACTAGCTTTGTAACCCTGAGACATTTTCTCAAACATAAAATGAGGATAACATAATATGGTATTCGTTGTAATTGTTAAAATTAGAAATACTGAGTTATATATAATGCGATTTACCCATAAAATACCATTATGGTGTCAATGGAGCATAACTGTGTATAATCTCAAAACTTAAATCTATACGAATACCTTTAAAGAAAATGTACCTAATTTTGAAAACTAATTTATCATATCCTGTTAAACCAGGAGATTTTCACATTTCATTTGAGGTTTCATCATAATTACCTGAATTCATTACGTCTTCTCAGAATTAGGTGTATCACCTGAGTGTGGGAGGGGGGAATAAAATTTTAAACTTCCTAGATCTTTAACTTCCGTTCTTCCATCATTTCCCCAACATGCACTCCCCACCTCTGCCACAATCAAGTGCCTCAAGAGAATAATTCTTCAGTGCCCTGAAATAAATCCTTATTTTCTAATGTAACCCTCAAGCATTATGGAATAAGAGAGCCCTAACTTCTCAGACAACAAAAGCAAGGCAATAAGAAAACTTTTGTTATTTTTCAGGGGGACTTTTAATTTAGAAAAGACTCAAGCTACAAACTAAGCCACACTTGATCCATGACTTTGACAGAAACATCGGCTTGGTCTTTCTCCCTGATGTTAAAATGTGGGGGGATCACTGGCTGGTCAGACTCCTGGGCTCTTCTTAGCTGCCTCTGTGCTTTGCCAGAGTACATCTGGTCCCCAGCACCCGAGCTCTTGGAAGTCGTGCTCTTTCAGAACTGGCTTCAGAATAAACTGGAGGGAAGAACACTTACACGTTTCCTCCCTGGTCGATCCTGATATATCTTAAAGGATTGGTGTGAATAATACTAGAATTTTTAATCTTGCAGTCTCCCTTGAAGATAACTATGTTCCTAATATTTATTCCTGGTTCTTATGCAAATGAGTTTTAGTTTGTGAGCCCTGAATGCCCACTAGCTGCTCGCTGTGAGGTTAATCCTGGTTTTACACAAAAATTAATGGAGACACAGGATTTCCCTAGTAGTCTGACTTCTTTTTTGATAATCCCCAAACTCTCTCCCTTACTGAAGGAAAAGGTAAATTTCTTATTATTATTTACTACAATTATTCCTTATATTTCTGCTGCTGGGACTCTCCTGATGTGACTTCTTGGCTGAACCATCAGGATGAACCATCTGGGCTGTTCTGCCTCCAGGGCTTGGTGGCCTGGAAATGCGCTCATTTGTCTCTATCTTGTTCAAGCTTGGAGCCCAGAAATCCCCGTCAGAAAGGATACTCCCATGATGCTCTGTTCATGAGGGTATAGAGTGTGGATACTTTTTACCTGGGTCTAAATATTGTATTTCTAATATCTCCAAAATGATGCTTTGGGGAGGGGGTGAGGATGGCACATGCTGAACTTTGTATAAAGGAAACGGCAACATTTTAAGATACAGTTTAATTTTTCAACACAAGTGGCAGAGCATCTGCTCATGTCATCTCTCCAGTAAGTCCAGTCTTCTTGGATGCTGGTCCTTATTTATTTGGATCATCAACAAATGTCTCCTATAATATATTGAGTTCACCAATTAAAGAGATACTGTGGCCGGCGTGGCAATGGATAACGTATTTGCTTTTCACGGTCGCTGCATTACTCCCCTTTCCTCTTCACTTTTGCTGTCCTATTTCCCCGCCCCCCATAAATTATCAGCACATTAATGATATGGCACTCCCTTCCCACCAACTCTGACCTGCTGAGTGTCCTTTTCACATGAAGAGCCCCTGCCGTTCTAATTATCTTTAAATTCAGCCCTTGTTCTCTATAATGTTATCATGGCTTAGTTACATGCTTTGCTAAGCCCCAATAATGTTGCCTATTCCCTTTGTCTCCATACTCCTTTAAGCTTCTTGCACCTTTACTTGTGTGTAATGCTGTTGTGTGTGCAATCCTGGATTCGAGTACCAGCTCCAGCACCTGCAAGACCAAGTTTTATAACATT